TTGCTTTAGCATCTAACGTCATCGTTCGAAGCAATAACAAGCGAAAACTTTACTTTACCTCATATTATACTTTATAGCGGCCACCATTTTCTCCATATTGACGTAGACTACAGTGTGGTGCAACTCCATAAAGTTCCGCTGTTTTAATGAAACGCTTCCAAGCGAAATGTGCAATAAATGCTTGTAGCGGATAATATGGCAACGAATAAAATGAAGCGGCTTCTAAGTGAAAGTTTGCCGGAAATCCGCACCATTTTCTTTTTCTTCCTCTTTCATTTAATGGGAAATTTTAAATAAATATGCCACGGGCTAATATTCACGAGCTTTATATAGCGGCTGATTTTTTTCTCTTTTGCTTGTACATCTTGCTCTTACCGACAAATTCACTTGTGTTTGTGTAGCTCTTGAAAATACTTCAACTTAATTGAATGCATTTTAAAAAGTAGCTAGCAGAAAAGCCTCTTAAAATTACTTGAGCCGATTTCGGTGTTTTCAAACCATTTCACGTTATATGCATAACAAAAAATACCACATATCGTATTGTGGTATTCATCCCTCTCTCTCTCTCCCTCTCTCTCGACTAAAGCCATACATTTCGAAGCAACTATCAGACCAAAACTTATTTACAAGTTCCACTTCGAAGAGCTTCCAACAAACTATTGAATACGATAATAATATGGAATATTTTATTCTAGTTTTGATGTGCGCACAGCGCTAGCGGCGAAATTGTTGAAAGATGACGAGTACATGAGTTAATAATTTTGTTCTTACATGAAAAGTACACCGACATTTCGCCAAAGCACTGACTTTCTAACTGCCTACTTATTATCAGCAAAACTTGGATCAATTTCCTTTTTTACCTTTCTAGTTGATTTGCAAGCTGGTTTTGATGTGATATAGCACAAGTTTTTCCTAGCTTCGTTACCCTGAAATCGATCTCTCATTTGCCGTTGTAAAACTTCATTTTCATTTCAAAAAAGTTTCAAATGTAATTGAAGCTGTGTCGGATAATGAGCGAAGTGAAAAATCGAGTTATCTGTTTTTAAATGAAAACAAGAGTACGAGAGAGAGAGAGTGTGTGAAATAGAGAGGGAGTGAGAGAAAAGAAAACAAATCAGCATAAGAATGTACAATGTTAATTTGATTATCACGTAAACTCATCCCGGCGAAACGCGGAAATCTTGTTGATTTTTGAGAACAGAGAAAAAAAACCGTTGATAACATTATTTTGTAAACGCCTAAACTTAGAAGCATTGATATTTATCATTTGCCTGGCGTCGAGTGTGAACACTTTGTTGTACGTCGAGTTGTTGATTTATAAGTGGATAAATGTCGGAAATCACAAAACGGCATAATTCATCCGCTGAAAACAACTTGTTATTTCTTCTCTTACACACACACATCCTTGAACTTGTTATATAAACACGATGCAAAACGAATGGCGTTGGGTTCGTACATTATATTTTTTTTCTCTCTTCATACAAATTACATATTTCATGCACATACCACGCCGACAATAACATAATACCGAAAACTTTTCAGCAACCATTTTCCTTACCATCTCGACATAAACCAATTAAAAAATACACGACAAAAAAGCGATAAACAAACTTAAGATAAGGGGAAAGAATGAGGAACAAAAAAATTATGCACGCTACGTGCATTGTAAATTCGTATCGTGCGACACAATGCTCGCGTCGTCGTGTGTTATTGGTGGTGTTTTTTTCTTCTTTTTCTTTCCTGTACTTTAGGAGCTCTGTTTTTGTACTTTTTGACGAACGTGTTTAATCTAATGTGTGTTCCATTATAAATTTGATATTTGTCTACTTTGCCGCCAACGTTTACCATGAACAGAAGAAAAAACACAGAGCCGACTTCTATACGCAGCCGGTACATGCTTTTAACATGATATATGGCTTCAACGATATGAGGCCTTTGTTGAGTATGTGTCTTTTTTGCGCGTGTTTTCTCTCTCCCTCACTCCTTCTGTCTCCCTCTCTCTCCTTCCCACTCGCTCGCTCGTGCAGCGCACTCTCTTGAAAAGGCATCCCAAATGAGGGGAGTTTGCGCTTGATTTCATTTTCTTAAGCATCATCAACAACAACAACTAACTACATAACGCCAATGTAACTGTTGAAATTGACATGAGCGCTCGCGCTCAACGCACACCCTTCTTTTGTTTGCCTCTTATTGCTTATTGCATTGTAGCCATGTTATTTCGCCTCTGTACATCACATAATGCATTCGCTGCTTAAGTGCATGCAAAGTCGCCCCTTGTCATTTCGCATATATACATCCTTTTCGTTTTGCCAACTTTTTCTGATCCAGATCGAAATCAGTAAGTGCTTAAATAAACCCAAGTGTAAATAAATTTGCCGCTAGACGAAGAATGGGCATGGTTGTTTGCACAAAAAAATTGAACGAAATGAAAATTCGACAAGGACTTATCGTATACGATTCATATGCATCCGTTGTGCTGGGTTGTGTTGTGGTCGCTATCATCCGAGAATATATCTTATGATGGGTTGTTGGACGGAAATGGCGTTAACGCTCAAGATTGAAAGTCGGCAAAAGGTATTTGCAATCGGATTAACGCATATATGATGATTGACATTTGGTGGTCTTCCCCATTTCTATTTTGCTTTCGATTTTTCGCTAGCATCAAAGTCTTAAAATCAAATAAAATGCCGGATTTACTCCGTTCACATCTTTGTGAATTCAATCAATGGCCAGATCAGTTTGATAAAAGGATCTCAGTTTGATGAAAAGTCGCAAAAATGAGCTAATCTTAATGCCAGACAAAAATGAAAATATGATACATTGAATATTGGAAAATTGGTGCACTTTGCCCAAGGCAAACTGATTTCAAATCAAAAGAGACACTGAGCAAGAGATAGAGAGGGAGTGCACGGTTGAGTTTGGGGTGTGATTTTAATGGGCTTCTTTCGATTCATTGTTGTGTGACTACCGTTTAAAGAGGAATAAATCGGGAATACAATTATCGTTTGTTCAAGTGGTTTTTGCGCCACAGAGCAAATACGAACGATACAAATCTGCACATGCCCTTAAAAATTCCATTTTTCCGCACATGCCGGTATAAACACTGTTTTTCCGAACTTTCGATACGAATAAATAAACTGTAAATAGAAAATGGTTGATATCCCTTGTCGAACAACGTTCGTAGACAAATGAGAGCGTTAATAAAATTGAGTTTGCCTCGTGATATTATCAAATCTATTTTCGTTATTTGCCATCGGCATCTTATCGTTACGTTGAGGCTAGCGTTGAGGTAATCATGATGTTTTAATACTTATCACGGCCAACCACGTTAACGTTCTTCTGTTGGTAGATAATAATGATGGCATTTATGCCTAATTGCTTTTCGATCAGCGTCGCTACTGTGCGCGATACGGAATTCAGTGCGACAATTTTGTTCTTCACGTGTTTTCCAACCAAGAATCACATTGTAATTTAATACTATTTATAATGCACACAAAAATTAAAACTTACCCGTATTATAAAATGCCAAATATTCCCATAAACTCAGTAAATTCGTTGATGAACAATCTCTAGAGGAGTTAAATTGATTGTTCACCTCTTTTCTAACGTTACACATTATTAAATACGGTGAATTCTTCGGAGAAATCAAGACAATAGAGAAGAGGCGGAATTATTCATCGAAGAGACACCAATCTCAAGAACTTTGTGAATTGATTTCATTATTTTCATAGAGGAAATTAAATGGCTTTGATAATATTCCTCATTAAACTTGCCAGTAGAACCAAAAATATTTTAAAACATTTAATCAATTTCTTGAATCTCAATTAGAATATTCAATGGATTTTCCCATTTATTCACACAATTTATACAAAGAATGCAAGTACCTATACAGAGGTCAAACTAATTCCTTCAATACAAGAAAATACTGAAGACTGACGGTGATTATCTGGAAATATTTAGAACATAGAATTGAAAAGCGATTTTTTCATGTTTATAACTTGATGCAATAACATCTTCAATTCTAAATCAAAATTGTAACACAAAAATTACCTGTTCAATTACCTGTACTTTTGTTGTTTCATTATTCAAATGGTTCGTGCTCAACAATATCCAATTGAATAATAGATAAATATTGAGCGCGATAAGGAATAAGGATTCGATATAAAATAGTGATTGGTTTGTGGTATTGATTTCGGTGTCTTAGTAGGAACCACCAAGAATCGAGTGAATCAATTCACACTGGGACCCGATTGCACTACAAAAATATTGAGGTTGCGGATTGTGTATCCAATTTGTTTGCAGTGAATTTGACTTACCCGGCCATAAACGAGATTTTTGGATACATAAGTAATTATTTAATGGTGTTACGTTCGTACGGTTTGTGGGTGTGTGTCTCCTTGCTTGCGTCTGACAAATTATTGTAATCATTTGGTCTAGGGGCTTCACGCGATTTTGCAGAACGCAAATAACTCTGAAAAAATAAAAATAATAGTGAATCAAACCTTCAACCGAAAATTTGAACCACTTTTGAAAGTTTTTGGTGGATAACGATGAATATTGGAACATTTTTTGACGATACAATCTGCACAAATTTACTGGTATGCACGTCAATCTCAAATATCTATGTATATTTAATAATATTCATTAGACTGTAATGACAAAAAATGTTCCAATATTCACCGTTATCTACCAAAATCAATCAAATTTACGGTTGAAGGATTGATTCACTATTAATTTTATTTTTCATTCGTATACACGTAAATTTGACATATCTATGTATATTCAGTAATATTCATTCGTCGTTCACGATGAATATTGTTGAATATACATGGATATTTCGGATTTACATGCATACCATTGAATTTCTAAGTTATTACTTGATGCGTGCGGATATAAAAGATGAAAAAAATGATTTTCCCCCCTAGCATTTGGTTGGAGGCAAGAATATTTGTATGACAATGTGTAATTTGTATTAGCAATATAAGGTATTTTCCATTTATTTTCAGATTAGAATGTAGTATTTTTGGACAAAGAGTAGAATTATTAAGAGTAGGATTATTTAGTTAATTATATGCGATTCTTGCGCCTTTGTTGCCGTTCTAATACCAATTTTGTTTTGATCATCTGGCGTCGTTGTTCGGTTTGTTCTGCTTGTTCGGCATAGGGTTGGGTGAATGGGTCGGGCAATGGTTCGTCAAACACTTCATGCAAAACTGTTTGTAGGTGTGGGGGAGGGGTAGATCAAGATTTGTTTCGTATAAAATGTGAGTATATGTTTATATTTACTTACAATGGGGCAGCATATTGAATCCAGCATTGGTGTCTCTGTCAACTGTGAGGCTGCGACAATCGTTGCTAATAACATATCTACGATATTTTATGCGCTGGCCATCGGCTGTCCACCGTCGCGGACTATGGGTCAATTCGCAATTCGATTTGATTGACAGTATAGTGGTAGTGGTAGAATTGCCAGCTCCAAATTTTATTGCACCTATTGTGTAACAATAATTAAGCTGTTGTAAAAAAAGTGCGTAACGTTTTTTTTTTAATTTTTAAAATTAAATGTAGACAGACACCCTCGCACCTGGTCGAAATGTCGAATTGGTTGGCATTCGATCGGCAATCGGTTGGCATTGTCGACAGAATCGATAGCGGTACTTTGATTTGATGCGGCCATTTTTGGTTCCCTCCTCCAACACGCCAAGGCATCGGCAGCACAACTTTGACGATCGATACTCTGATTCAGTTGTTTATACTGCCAGAACCCATGAATGATTGGCTAAATGTTTTAGCAAGGAGCCGGATGTTGTGTTGGGGTAACCTCTCATCCAGCCATCAGTGCCGGCACCACCACCAACAATAACAATTGTCGGTGTGTTGCGAAGGTCCTGCATCTAAGCGTCTGACAGCTCACTTCTAGCGCTACGAGACAAGTGTGAAAAGTTGTGACACAGATCGTTCAATGTATTATTGAATTTTTTTATATTTGTTAATAAAGTAGACAAAAAAAAATAAAAATTTTACGAATGTGCAAAATTGATTTTTGTGAGAGCGTAGCACATGATAAACATCAATTTTATACAGGCATGTAGAATTTCAATGACTTGAAGATTTTATTATTTGCGACTGTTGAAGCGTTGTCATTTTTACACTTTTTGAATGAAAGTTGAAAAGTAATTATTTTATGTGAAGAAAGTAGGGAATAAATTATGATTTTCAGTAAAAAGTAGTTCAAGTCGTGTCTATTCACATCAAATCAGGTAGAGCTGAAATCAGGTAGAGCTGAAGCCGACTGATGCAACAGACACTTTAGATACTACAAGCAACTCTTCTGCGTCATTTCAATGCTTTCTGTCAAAGGCCGCTCGCTATGTGGAGCAATTCAATCAGCGTAATTGCTCAAGAAATAACAATTTATGAATGGACATGGACACGCTCAACCACTATGAAAAAACATGTACCTCTTCGAGGTTGTAAATTATCAGCCTCTCTGATCGTCTGTACAAATAGATAGGAAACGTCAAACAAGAACAATAAAGCGGCACCTGGTGACTGGTTGGAGAAATAGAGAATCATGCACATAGTTTGCTGTAACAAGTATACGTCTGTGTAAGTGCGTCTGTGTTAGTTCAAACGTTGAAAGTATGAGACATTGCACTTAGTCCCCAGGTGCCGCTGTATTGTTTACTATTTTCATGATCAGAAAGGCTGTAAATTATTTTTCAATTCTTGTTTATTAAAAAACTTTTTGAAGTACTTACTGCTGGGCCATAAATTTGCAAAAAAAAAAGGCAGAACAGGGAAATATTTGTTTGTTTTCTTTACACGTAAATTTCGTGGCACCAAATTTAATGAAAACCCAACGACCAAACTACAAAATGAGAAAAAAAAAACTTTTCGCAATAATACCTTTTGCACAGTAAATTGCAACGTGGGAAATGAATGTATTTCTTGTTGCTTATTTCGTGCGAAAAACTTCGATTCTGTCACTTATTTTCAGTTCTGTGCCCACTTTTCGTTTGTTCCCAATAAAACAACTAAGTTTGCTACGTGTGACACAAACAAGTGAACATATTTTTCTGATCGTTGCTAAATTTCGTGATAAAATCGTCAACGTTGTTTGGCAAGCGATTTTAATGAAATTCTCAACTATTGAAAGTGTTTATTTGCTCAATGGGTAAGTTAATTGGATATCCGTAAAAAATACCTTGCAAATATCACCAAAGAATTTAATAACAATCCACAAAAAGGCTTGAAATTCACAAAAAAGGTGGTGGTAGGCGTAACGATTTCTATCTACTTATTTACATTTCCCTTGTTACCAACGAATTGTTCTATTTTTACTGAAACTCTTCAACGAAACTTACGCGAAACACAAGTAATAATGCGAAGAGTGTCGAAAAATGAATTCATTTATCACCCTGGCGTTTTTCGTGTATATTTTTCGTTTGAAGTTTTATGCGAATAGGTCGTCGAACCGAGAAATAATCCACTTGGATGCTGCAACAATTCAACGAAATAATTTACACATTACAAAAGTAAGAGATCCTAATTAGAATAACTTAAGTTTATTCTTGCACCGTGCGCAATTTATGCGCTCCATTTTTGTGAAGCAATGCAATCCCAAAATGTGTCACTCGATTCACCTTTTTTTTCAGCAAACCTCTCAAGCGTTCGAACAAAACAAACGATTCCAATGAATGTCTACCAAAGTGTTGTTTCGAGCTGTTTTCATGGCAAAACTAAAATAAGATGACGAAACAAAAATACAGAAAATGGATAAAGAATTTCAGACTGTGTGTGTGTGTGTGTGTGTGTGTGTGTGTTCTGCACCAATAGCATTTCTTTGCCCAAGGTGGTTTATTCGAATAAATTTTTCTTTTTTTTAACAATTAAATAATTATATGATTACAAGTTTTAATCGGTTTGGATTTTAAAATGTTCTCTGAGAACTTTTTTCAAATTGTCTTTGGTTGTATTGAAATCAATTAAATCAAATTTTTCATTATATTTCAATTTCATTCTACTAAAAGGATCATTTCTAATGTTCAATGAATCACTCAATGGAGTTATAGTTCTTGTTCTTCTCACAGGCACTCTAAGGTTTAAATTACTTAACAATTTAGGTGACGAAATCGTATTGTTGATTAATGAGTGAATAAATAAAATTTGTTGAATTATTCTCCTGTCTTCCAATGTGTTCATTTGTAGAAGTAATAAGCGATGTTTGTAGGGTGGTAATATTGGTAGATTTGGCCATTTGAATTTACGTAGAGCGTATAGTAGGAATTGCTTTTGTATTGATTCAATTCTCATAATTTCGTTTTTATATTTTGGCGCCCAAATTTGTGACGCGTATTCGATGTCAGGCATGACGAATGTTGAGTATATCGTTTTTATGACCCACGGATCGTCGAATTCTTTTGTGAAACGTCTTATCCAAGCTAAAAGTGATTTAGCTCTGTTGATTATGTAGTCGATGTGATTTTTAAATGATAGTTTGGAGTCTAAAATCACTCCTAGGTCCTTGATTTCAGATGTTCGGTCGATGATAGTGCCATTTATTGTGTATTCATATTGAATTTGATTGTATCCTCTGTAGAATGTTATTCCTTTGGTTTTGCCGATATTTATTTTCAACTGATTTATCTTGAAGAAACGAATCGCTGAGTTCAAGTCCTTTTGTAGGCATTCACATTGTTGTATTGACTTGACTGGCTTGGAAATTTTGCCATCATCAGCGAACAAATGTAGATTTGATGATTCAAGGTAAAATGGTAACTCATACATAAAGAGGATAAACAGTGTAGCTCCGATTGGGTATCCCTGCCCTACTCCTGACGATACATTTATTGGCGTAGATATGGTGTTTGAATCGAGTTTCACGAGTTGTTTTCGATCACGCAGATATTCACTTATCCAAAGCAGTATTTGTGAATTTAGACCCATTAGTTCAAGCTTATGACAGAGTAATTCAACGTTGACCGTATCGAACGCTTTTGCAATATCCAAATAAATTGCATCGACTTGTTTATGTGATTCAATTCCTTCAGCCACAGAACTCGTGAATTCAGCAAGATTCGTTATTGTTGATCGCCCAATGGTGAAGCCGTGTTGATGTTCTGTGATGATGTTTTTCATATGATAGTTCAAATGACGCGCTATGATTGAATCAAGTAGTTTGGGTATAATGCATTGAATAGCAACACCTCGATAATTTGTAATGTCTGATTTGTTTCCGTTTTTGAATATAGGACGAATGAACGACGATTTCCATAGTTCTGGAACATTTGCATTTTCCAGCGATGACTCCAGAATCGAACAAATTGGTTTAGTTAGGGTTGACATGCAATTTTTTACAAAAATGTTTGGTATGTTGTCAGGTCCTGCGACGAGATTCGATGGCAATTCATTTATTGCTTCTTCGATTGTTTGTTCATTGATTACAATTGCTGGGATATTTGCGCATACATTTTTCAATTTATCAGCATGTTCATTATCCGCATCGAAGTTCAATATTGCACTGTCGTCGTGTTTCATATACACTGATTCAAAAAACGAACGGAATAAATCTGCGATTTCTTTATTATTTGTTCCAATTTTTCCATTTAGTTTCATGATCAGGGGCATGTCCATTGATTGTTTTTTTGTATAATTAACATGTTTGAAGAATTGTTGCGGATCTTCAATAATCATTTGTTGCATTGAAATTTTGTAATCTTTATATTTTTTTAGCACGTAATTTTTCTGTTCAGTGAAGTATATTTATTCTGTAATTAGTGTATGACCTGGCGTTGTAGATTCTTTTTGCATTGCACTTTACTTTCATTTCTTTTTCTTTGACTTCTGAAACATATTACTGGGAACAATGGAACTCACTTCAGCTTCTGTGAATATGGGAAAAAAAATGAAATTTCACTGGAATCAAGTTTTATTACTTGGCATTTTCAGTTGTTTTTTTTCTTCTTTCGAGTTGAAATAACATACCCATGATTGCGCGAGATAAATGCAAACGAGGTGAGATTTAGCACAGAATGACGATGGAAAACGAAGTGAATGTCACGTTCTGAAGAGATTCGAGTATCTAGCACACCGACCCTGAACATATAGAACACCACATCATATTTCAGTGGCAACATAAAAAAAAAATAAATCTAAATTAAATTTATGGCACCAAATTATTTTCTTCCCTTATTCTCGCCCGTTCTTTTTATTCATGTACGCTGTCCTTCTGTTTATTTATGTTACTCCCTTTGTTAGTATCATAACGATGATTATAAAAGTTTGCTTTTTCTATTCGCCACGGTATTTTTCTATGGGGTCGAAATTGTAAAATATCCAGCGAGAGAAACTCGACAAAAGAGCCGGATAAGTTTTCCTTTTTTTCGCTTATAAGATTGCAGTTATCTTGCAATCGGTGACACCGTCAGACGTTGGTCCTCTCAACAACATTCCCCATGCCACCGACGAATACACCCAACCGTCTCTGTTACAAATAGAAATAACAGAGTTCGTGGGTTCTTCTCGTCGGTTCCATCATCCAGAATGCATTTGTGCGCTCGGGGATAACTTTTTCATTTTATCATTTTAACAAATCTCAAATGAGAATCAAATGATACTCACAAATGGTGTGACACTCTTAAAATACAATTCATTATGGTAAAAATGGTCGTTGATCAAATGGCAAGGGGAAGATTAAAAACAAACAACAAAACTCTACGAAGCATAGATTTTGAATTCACAATGTGGAAAAGAAGAAAAAAATTATAACCAAACGAGAAGAAAATATGTTGTTTACCGAAATACTCACAAATTTACTTCAAATGAAATGCAAACAAGTTGATTTTACCACGCAACAACTTTGGGGGCGAACAACTATTTTCCTAACGTCGCGGCCTGTCGTATGAGTACAACGCGGTAAAATAGTAAACAACAGCAAAGCTCTGGACAAATATATGCTCGGCGAAAACTTCGTGGAACAAACGACTAAACAGAAACTTTGGCACGCACACTCTTCATGATTACAGCAAATAATGTTAATAAAATGGTGAAACGAACGATTTCACGCTGTGGGTGTTTATTAGACGTTGGTCGGGATTTTAGAATCTCGGTGCGGTTTTTGTTTTGGATATTGTACGAACGGGAGAGGTAGAGAGAGATGAACGCTTTAGGAACATAATCAACACTAGCGAATTTCCAAACAAAATTGTTTACAAATGCAAAGTTTAACGACGTTAAATCAACGCTTTCAACGGTAAATATTTCCAAGTTATTCTAATAATAAAAAGCAAACAATTCATTGCCGTGTGTACACTGTACATCGGATTTCCGGTATGCCATGCAAATATGAGTATATATGTGCCCAGCAAGAGTAAAAAAACAGAAACAGTGCAGAGAGAATTTTTTTTCGGTGCAAACTTTCATAAATTAGGAGAAAACATTTCTTTTTGCAAAATTATTTGCTGGGCCAGCGCATTATGTGAATTAAATCTTAAACTTGCGAACATTGCGCTCGCATGGAATAGAAGTTTTGTAAACAGTGGTTTTCCAACCGAAATGCCACAACCAGAGAATTTTGACTAAATATGGCGAGAATCAATATTTAATTTCAAGAAGTTCATGCAGATTTTTTTGGGTTTCGTATACCCACAATTTTGAAAAGTAAACATAAAATTCGATACGGTTAGAAATTCCAACTAGTAACTAACCACTTTTATTGCTCAGCATTATAGTTCCATGGATGACAGCAAGTTAAATTAATACTTGCAATATCGACTAGAGCGCTGCGAATGACGCATTAGGAATTAGGAATTAGAATCAATACACAATTATTTATGTTGTTCAACTAACAGAGTGTTTATTTGTGTGGCTATCATAGCACGCGCGTACAATGCTGTCACGGTCGGTTAAAGTTTATGTCAAAAAAATTCCTGCCCTGAAATCATTCACAGATAAAATAAATACCTCATAAAGATATGCAACCTTTTTTATTAATTAAGTCATTTGAAACCAGATCGATGAGTAGCAGATTGACGACAATTTCTCTGCATGTTTCAAGAATTGTTCCAGTCAAATGCGGGAATAATGATGATGAATAATATAGTTTTTGGCCCAAGAGCACTTCAATTATTTCGCTTAATCAGTTGCTGTCTCATCTTATGAAAATCGTTGCTCATTCAATACAATTTTCATCGTAAATTCTATTCAGTTCACCACTAGCATTCCAATTCGATTTATCAACATGAACTTGTCACAGTTGTTAGTCCAAAGTATTCTGATTGTTAAAAGTTTGTCGGTTTTGATTAGGTGCATCGTAAATGATGATGGATTTAACATGATTCTCTTGTTTAGGACTCAAAATTGTTTGAAAATCTCTTGCTTTCCGAAACTATTCAGCAGTTACCAACCATAGTAGTCAGTTGATAATCAAAAATGTCGGAGGAAATGAAATAATTTTCAGGAGTTTAAAACGGAAGATTTCATTCCAACAAAATCTATGGGAAACGGTGAATAGTAATTATAAGGACGATCATTTATAAAGATTTTTCGCCGAAATATGATTGACAAGTGTTATATTGTATTTGACATTTTGCAATTTGTCTTTAAAAAGTCAACAGCGCCATCTAAATCTTCGTAAGAATTGTACGTTATGAATGGCGCTGTAATGTAACGAAGATATAGGAACCTCATTTACACTAAAATTTTCATACATATTTTGAGAATTGAACTGAACTGAACTGAATTGAACTGATCTGTGATTTTGCAAATTGAATAGCTTTTCAATGTTTTCTTTCAACTTGAATGCAAAGATCTTATTTATCGAGAAATTGACCAGCAACTCTACGTTGCATATAGTGCTAAAAATGAGCGGAATTGGTGACCACTGATCACAATTTCACAAAATGCCTTAGTTGATTCAGTTCGATGCCACTTTAATCATCCATTTTAGAACATGGAGAACATGAAGAACAAGTTGAATTATGTTTTTAAACGAACTTACATCCAATTTCCCAAGTAATCAACACCGTTCTAGATGTTTTACTATCGCCATAGCTAGGAAATGATGGAAAAAACACAGTAGGCCAAATAAGAATAGGATACCTGTACCGATGCCATATATCAAAATGCACTTCAGTTAAGCTGTAATTAACTTGAAACAGCAAGACTTGGGTAGAACAGCTTATAAACTTTTGTTATTATTGCTTTTTCTCCAACTTATGCTTAAAATCCGCCGTAAACATAGCACACCAAGCGATGGTGTATGTAGGTGGGGTAGATAGTATAGTATTTCTGGCATATAATAGAATGCAAATAAATAATTTAAAGTGACAGAAAAGTCATTAAAAGGCAACACAATCCAAAGCAGCACACCCAGAAGAGCGATTATGCGTCTTAAAGTATAAAAACGAACCCATTAGAAGCTGAAACAATATTCGAATTAAAAGAAACCGATTTAACTGGGCCGAAGCAAAAGTTTCCAACTAAAGAAATGCTTTGTTCATTCTTGTGAAGAGGGTTAATTTAGCAAATAGATCCCGTACACATTTTTCTTTCGTTCACACGTGCTGGGAATTTGGTAAAATTTCGAATGCATTCATGCTTTATTACGTGCATTTGAATCGGAGCTAGAGCTGCTGTCGAGGGGTTGAAACAAAGCATTTAGCGGTAATATGAGTTAATGACAACATATGCAATGATTATCTGTTTTTGGTGCGATTAGAATTTTAAAAGCGAAATTGTTCGAATAATGAAAATAAATGAATGAACGAATGTCTTGAATTGCTACAAACCATTTGGAATGGTGTATGTGTGTGGGCGCGTGCGATGTGCGATGACACCGCGCTCAATTTAAATGCAAGTGCTTGGCAAAGACGAAACGCAAACAGAAACATAATTAAGAATTAACGCGAATTTAGTTGATCATGGTGCAAAGCGCAAAGGCAAAAACACCAACGAACCAGCACAATGACGGTGGAGAAAACAAACATTCTTCTATTGACTCCATAAATTTGTGCACAATTGTAATTCGTTTGCACGCAAGTTTCATGGTGGCATGAGCGACAAATGAATGTGACTGAAATGGAAGAAAATTTATGATGGCCGCAGAATAACAGAATTTTACTTATACATGGCGAACGTGAGCGCGTGAAAATTAGATAAATTTTACTTCTGGTATTTTTGGCAAGAGTTTTTTGAGACATCGTGCACACGAAATGAAATATGTGCCTGATGAATGTGTTTGTGTTTTCGCCTTGCCATCCGAGACATTATACGATGCAGTGTTTTCACAGCATCGCTACCGATGCATATTACACATGAGTGTGTTGTTGCGAATCGAAAGTTTCGAGCTTTTCGTGAATTTCATTAATTTTAACTTCTTCTGGTGTTTTGGCGACACCGACTTTTTCAACTTTGTTTGTTTCGAAGGAAAACCAACCAATTTAACGGCTGAATTCGCTACCATTTTGCCATTTTCATTCGGATCACTATCGGTTTTAATGTGTTTGCTCTTTGCATTTTATATGAAATTAAGACGCATCCCAGATGCGATGAATTCGGCAGAGAAAACATCGCACAATCCATTAATCATTTCATTCAATTGGACGGAACAATGGTAAATCAAGTCAATATTGACAAAAAACAACTCATCCTGCTACCGGAGGTTGGTTGATTAACTATAGGCTTCAGCACAAATGTTAAATTCAAAGACAGATTCGGATCAAATTTTCGAGAATTCAATGACAGATTTGGACTCATTTGCATTCACTGTTTAGTTATTATTTTTAATCACCTTACACATTCGACCAATCATAGATGAAACTACGTCAAAATTGAACATTTCGTTCAAACAAAATATCGTGAAAACATTTACAATCTGCAATGTACTTGGTTATTGCGAGCTGGCATTGTATTTCGTGTTCATTGAAAGTGAGCTGTTCTACATATGGATAAAGAGTCTATAGTTAAACCACCGAACGTAAAAAGTTCAAAGCAAACCATCAAATTAAATATCATCCTGAAATTCGGCAATTTCACAAAATAAATGTTCAATGTCGTCTCTTGTGTGAGGTCCTTGCTCCCGGGAAATAAACCCACAACGCAATTCCAACGTCTGAGCAGTTATTAGCCGATACATAAAATACGCACACATATTGAGTATGATTAAGTATTGGTATGTGCAGTTGTATGTGCGGTTTCACACCAACGAAATCTGCAAAGACGCAACAACCAAAGAAGTATATATGCGTGTATCAGCGGCTATTGACAGCTGACTTACCGCGTCTCACAGCTAATATTCTGTAAAATGAATATTTAAATTTTTTTGAAACATTGATTTAGCTTATATTCATTCCGATATTTATTCGGAGTCTCAAAAAAGCAGTACAATTTATACCTATTCCATTTCGTTAATCAAAATTAATAATTTATTTCTGAATCAATTCTTGGATTCAAAATTTGCATTGTGAATCTTCAGGCCAATTCAAAAAAGTTGCATACAAATTGTTATTATCTTTATTCTTAAAGGTTAACACCGCCAATCTCGTCCATTTTTTCGTTGTGAAAACGTCAAAGTCCTTGTCGGATTTCATAATTTTGCATAATTCTTCATATTCGGTTTGTGCTGTGGCGAAATATTTATCCATGGCCACCGTATATTCGTCAAATTTTGGTTTATGCTGAGGAAAGTATGCCAAAAATTCGGTCAATTCGCCGTTGGTAATCATTTTGCAAATATCGCGGTCGTTGATGTTATTGGCAGAATTATGAGCAATGACATAGGTCGGTGATTTAACTTTAAAAACTGGTTCGGCAGTCGTTTGATTGTAGACCACAAAGCCTTCTTGCAAATTTCGTGGATTTTTTGCCCGTTCAACGCATTCTTTGATGTTTGTGAATTTGAAATGTTTCGGCCGTAGAAATGCAAGCTGTCTCATCGTATCCGCATCGATAAATTTACCAGCTAAATCGTTTCGTCGAATGCCCAAGAACCACAGTTCGTACTTATGCGGATTGTATTCGGTAACGATGCGATTGCGTTTGCCAGTCAATTCCAAAATGTACGTATGGCCGATATTCATGTCACAATTTCGGCAGAATTGTTGAAATTTGTGCTCAGCTTTCACATTGATGACGTCACCGGCATTTATGAGCGACAGTGCTTCAAAGACAGCTTGTTTGTATGTGGTTTTTGTATCGGTGACTGTACATTCAGCAAATGCAGTTCCGCGCGTTGAAACATGCCAAGCACCATTTAAATGATAAATCTTGATCAAACTGCCATCAATTTTTTCGATTGCATAACATTCATCATTATTGTGCAATGCTCCATCGCATTCGTTGTAATTGAAGAATCGGTCATATGCTCTTGAAATCACTTTGTAGTCTGTTGATAAAATCAAACCACGACATTCGTTTGCCAGTGGCAGTGCAAATTGCCACTAAAGACTTTTTCGATGAAGCCGTGTAGTTTAGCACGATTAAACTTTGCTCTGGATATTCTTTCACTCGTAACGAATATTCGGACTTTAGGAGATCCAACGAATTGGCTTTCAAAAAATTCACAACATTCATTTTCAATTGATTCACTAGGTAGTCGTTTGAACTTTCTTTTTACCAGCTTTTTGAATGACTTATATCAGTATTTGCGCAGCATTTGTTGTACACAACTTTATAGCGTCGTCTGAATAACGATAGACATGGAGAACAACTAAGCAACGATAATTCAATCAATGCGGTTCAGCGTCGCGTGTAGTGCTCTCTTGTTTTGCCGCATACAGCACTGTGTCGAACATTGCATTTGTGTGTTTTTACGCGTCTGTTTTAACTGAGAGGTAATCTTTAGCGCACACAATACAAAATGATCAATTAAACAATTGCTTGAGTATTCATACGCTGAAATGTGTGTTCGTCAACCAAAAGTATAGATTGTTTTTATTAATCTTTACGTAGAATAATGGACGTTTCCAAGGAAAAGATTCATTTGGACTCTGAATGAACTCATGAATTTTTGTTCCCAACTTCTCTGGAAATGATCGCGCGTCATCAGTGATGAACAAATTATTCGCATATTTGTACAGTTCATTTGGAGTGTGTTTGTATGCATCGGATTTGATAGCAGTTCACGCGCACAGAGACACACTGGACATAAATAAACCGTGTATCGAACAGTCTGAAAGGCAATACATGTGAACACGTTGCGATTTCGTAGCATTTGCAGACCGCTCGTTGTATTTGCGTTTGTTTTCATTCCATACGGACCGCTGGTTTGTTGCTGTATGCATGATGAGGAACGTTCGCGTTTACATTTCTTTTAGGTACGCATACGGGTTCGCGTTCGCACGATTGTGCATGCGATGATATATCATTCAACTTATATTGTCTTATCTCTAGCAGAGATTCTCTACTATCTCATTTTTGCAGGTCTTTTTTCAAAACAAGGTTTTTCGTACAGAATTGATTCCATTTGCTTGTTTTTTTCCTTATTTTATTTGAATTTGCGGTTGAATTCTCGTATTTGGTATGGATTTCATGAACTATTTGCAAACTCATTCCAGAAGAAGACTCATCCAAAGGACATTCCTTCGGGATGAAATTCCTCTGTCGCGTAACAGTCACACTAAATTCATTCACGTCACAAGAAACCTTGAGAAATGCAATGATGATATGACGTTTGTCATAGGCATACATTTCATTTACAATTTGAACTTCTAAATCACAGCCACTGGTGTACTAACGTTCCTATAGGAGATTCATATTTACAAAAGGCTAAACAATTAAATGCCGGTACATTTTTGTTTGACGAAAACTTCTTTTTTACCATCTTAAGAGTCGAAAGGCAAAGAAAACATTTGAGTAGACAAAACGTCGGCGAAAAATCACATTTGATGCTGAAAACCCTTATCTTTCATCTTTCACTCTTTCTCTCGAATGAAGTCATTAGAAAGGGATCAGTGTAAAGACTGAAAATGTGATCGACTTCCGGAGTCATTTCCGATTTGTTAAGGGATCAGTTGAAAATCTTCTTTTATCATTTTTTTCTCTACTCTAAAGAAAATTTGGGTATCGGTTCGAATTTGGCGATGTCTTTGATTATTAATAGTGTAATCACCGGTGGAATTCGCCCGAAGAAAGAGCAAAAAAGAAAGAAAAATGTGTAAAAAATGGAATAGCGGTGCCTCAATGGATTGTAGAATCGCGAAACTATGTTACAAATTGCTCGTGTCGGCATAAAAACAAACCCGATTCAGACTGGTCTATCGGGACTTGCAGCTCACACACCCTACAAAGAAATAAAACGGAGAAAAAATATCCGAATGGAAAGTAAATCCCAGGTCTGAATGAATGGTGAACATCGTTTGGGAGGAAATTGTGCGAAATCAGTTGTGTGCGAAGGTGATAATAAAAAAAGGCTAAAATGAGAAGAAAATGGAATAGCTAAAGACAAATCTGCACAATCAATGCTATCCAGATGAATGAACATTGAACACACACGGCGCACACACACACGAAGCGAAAAACGATGGATTTTCCCGTCGACAAACAAACAGCACTTAAATTGTGCTCACAATATCAACGGGCGATGTGACTTTAATGCAGTCGTTTCGCCGTTTCGCCGACATAAATGAAGATCGAGCATTATTTTAATGCTTTGTTCTAGAAAATGTTGTTGTTTTTGTCATTGCTACTGTTGTACGCCATCTTCTTATTTTCGTACAGAGTAATTTAGTGCTTACAATGGCTTTTCGGTGACTGTCGCATTTTTCGTGTTCGAAAAGCGTTCATTGAACATGTGAAAACACAACTTGCCGACGAAGAAATTTCAAAGTGAAAATATTTACTTTTTCGAAACGAAAAAAAACGGAGTCTAAGTCTAGAGTCGGCAAAGTTGAAAAATTGTGCGATGAAACTTGCTCGGTGACTTTGACTGATACGTTCTAATAAATTGTGTTCAAGAGGGAGGTTTTGTCGACGAATTCTATGTACTTTACGTATTTTCTTTTAATATCTTCGACGTAATGTCGTATTTATTTCGAGTTGTTGATTTCGAATGCATATTACTAGAGAGCAAGTGGGAAAGTAACATCATTCGTAACGATTTTGATTGTAAAGAGTTTATGGGTAAACAACATTTGCGTCGTTTCAATTTTCCTAGGTAAAATGCGACTTTGAGCAGTGTAGCGAAACGATCGAATATTCAATTAGCGAAAACTTTTTGATGTACAACGAAGCGAACATCACAATTATTTGTTCCAAAATAGCGTTCGTTTTATGTGATCGACCGAATGCAACCAAAAAAGGGTTGTGAATTAGTAACAATCGAATTTACAGCTTTTGATACCGCAATTCAAATAGCCTCAATTGAATGTGCCTGATTTTCGTCCATTTTTTTTTTCAATTTCATTTGGAAAATATACAAACGAATAGGCAATATTCAATTATTCTGCTAGAATTGGTATACAAAAACTGATTTGCAACGTTGCATTTCAATGAATGCACCACCATGTTTATGCGTCGAACGAACAAAATAATGGCAGATATGCTAACAGTTGCAAAGTACATATTTAAACAGATAATTCCAATGCAAAGGTAAAGAGAGAGAGAGAGAGAGAGAGAGAGAGAGAGAGAGAGAGAGAGCGAGAAAAAAAGTGTGTATGTTTCAGTTATAATGCATTCAGCAGTGAATATCCAACATTACGTTCAGATCCGAGATAATAGAAATATTGAGCATTGAATAATGGATCAGGTTGTATTCAAATGTTGATTCATTCCACGTACCCAGTGGCCAAAGGCGAAGCGTTGAAAATTGCGTTGCCGACTGCGCATAAAATATGCTTATTATTTTCCAAAATGCAGTTCAATAATCATGTTGATTATGTAGATGCGGTGCAGCAAGGGTAAGTGGCAAATAGGCTCGAGTAACAAATTCTATTTTAATTTTCACCGCGATGTGGACAACTCGTGCAATCGTATGCAAATTTTCAAACGAAAAATATTATTTCCATATGCGCCGCTTTCACCATATATATCGATTGTCAATATGTGAGAGTGCAGTTCGCGACATGCCACAGCGACACGGTTCATAAATTCATTTTGTGTGTTGAAACGGTTGAAATATGCATAAATGGGCTTAAATCTGAAAATCATGTTATTTTTATTTATTCATTCATTTTTGTTGTCTCCTGTATGTGTGTATGTGTGCATGCGTTATTTGCAAGTGCATTATTTGAGTTACTAATAAATGAATCAAAATTCATAACATGTTTTATTTCATTTTACACTCGATGGAATAGAATGATAACCGCCATCAACCGGTAACATACACGAGACTGGTTTTTCCGATTGCAGTTAAACTACCGCTTCTATACCGATCCATACCGACATTCTGTACACATTCAAGTCGATCAATTGCAGTGACACAATCGTATATAATGCGGGGAAAATTGATTCCATTCTTCTGGTACGATTTGAATTTCCGTCGTGATTTTTTTCTCAACTTCCGAAATGATTTCCACACAAGTGTGTGTGTGTATGGCACACTCCAAAGTGTTGATGACTGATACGGCAATACCTGCCTCTGGTCGGCGTGTGAAAGAGGGGTGAAAATAGAAATTGACGCACGTCGTGTACACACAATCGGCATCTCCAGATGAGAAAAACGAATCGCTTAGTGTAATTTTAATGTCACAGCCGAAAATCGCTTGCGAATCAACCCTTCAAGTGTTTTTCTAGCCCACATTTGATGCCATTCATTTTATTTATTCGGTCGCAGTTCGGATTGTATTTCATATGTGATTTAAAAGGTAAAACGGTTGTTGAATGACTAGTGTGTGCTTAGTTGGAAATTGCCCGTTCGGAATTTGGACGAAAAGCCATGCATCGCGCCGTAGAATTGGTGTTTTTAATTGAAACTTATCTCGATTCGCATGGATGGAGCCGAAATGCTCGACGCTATGACGGCACTCTCTCTCTCGTTCTCTCTGAAGTTGACATCGATAAATTTGAACGCATTTTTTGCTGGTCCAATGATTTAATGGCCAAACTGGACGAATGTATATCTATTTTTAGGCCGGCAACAACCGAACTAGAATTCAACCCATTTTCCTGTTTCTTTCTTTCTGCCGTCGTCGATGTCGCTGCTGTCTGCAAAACGGCATACCGAAAATAATCTATTTGAACTGCTGTCGCTCAGATAATCATCATTTCCACTTCTTTAATTTTACATCGGTTAAATGTTGTGTGCGCCGTTTATTTTATTTTATGGTTTTTATTTGCAGCCGACGTTGATTTGAAGTTTTCATTTTAATGTCTATTGTTTTGCCAGCACACAATCTCAAGCACTTTGTCAAGCGCGTTCGATCGACACGTGTACGTAGGCAGCGCTGTTTTTTGTCTGTCGTTGTCGTTGCTACGACGTTAATTCCACCAAAAAGGTCTTTTTGAATGAACCAACAAGTAAAATAACTTTTGAAACTTATTTAAACAGTCTTACCAGAGATTTGGTTGTTTGTTTGCTGTTTTTTTCGTCATTGTGCCAATGTTTAAAGGATTTTTGACGTAGTATTTTTCTTTTTTTCATTTGATTATCATTATTGTATTTTTCATTTGATGCGTACACGCTGGTGACAACATGGTTTCGTTCATTTAATTTTGTCGCCGTTTTTCTCGTTTTTTGTTCGTTCGCTTTCTGGAATTCAATTGTCTGTTTAATGTTTGGCTCAAGTTAGGCCACGCTCAGATGTTATCGCAGATTCAGCATTCGCTATAGGCACATTGCGACCGAAACAAGTCAGCGAACACGTTCGATTTGGTGAGAATGTGTTCGATCGCTACCAGAAAAGTGTGTCCCATTGAGATATTAATTCGCTTTAATGAGGTCAAAAGTTTTTCAATTTTCTGATGAGTGCCGCAGATATGATGTTCATTGAAAGTTTCCAATGGAAACCGACAACGAATCATGTTAAATTATCACCAGAGAAAATGCGTCGTTGTAAACATTGAAATAAATTTCAAGCGTCTTTTGAATGGTTCCATTTCGAATCTCGAACAACAGATTAGAAGTTTCGTTCTGTCGAAAGATTTTTGCTTTGTTCGTCTATGGGAAATATTTCTAAGAAAAATATGACATGATTGCCCAGCAAATTTTTCTTACGAAATAGAGAAAGATAGAGCGTGTGCTCTGTGCTCCGTTTTCCAAACTCAAGATGAGCATGACGACGACGACGACGAAAAGCCACATCATCAGTTCCATTAACCACAATTCGTTCAAACCAAAGCTTAGCACCATCGATCGCATTCGTAGCGTGTCGAGCAAAAATTCACCGTGGCAGAATATAATTTAAGAGCCCCCGGTTTCTATTGTAATGCCGGAAAGTAGAAGAAAAAGGAACGTGATTTGTTGCCGTATCGAATGTGTTTCAACAACGGGTAGTAACTTGTGATGCGACAATGTAAAATCCGTTATATATACACACATATTTCGCTATTGTGGTGTAGCGAACGCGCATGCAAAAATGTTTATATTACGATACGCGTTCGACACATTTCGTAAAATGCCCTTTGTCGACAAAAGCCATGTCGCTCGCTTCAACTATTCAACGTACGAACACACAAAATATCATTTTAATACCGTCTTTTATTGTAATAACGTTATTTAATGGCATGTGCATCGTACGACATTTTCCTTCTTAGTGGTTTAAATATTCAAAAGGGTAGACGTCACAATGAGTGGTTTCGATATGACTTTAAATGCTTCACAACGCGACGATCTCCAAGACATTAACGATGCTGCACTTTTCTATATTATTACACATTTATAGGTATATATACATATATATATATATGAATTTCAACGAATTTTGCATAAAATTAAGTACCCGTTCCCGTTCCCGTTCTCCCTATTTTCGGTAGCAAAGATATGCACAAATTTATCTCCAGAGTGTCTTTGGAACTTCACACTTCAACAATAGAATGTACATTGTACACTAGGGTGTTTTTGGTATTAAATAAACAGAAAATGGTAGTTTTAGTTTGATAGAGCAGAGAATTTAGAATCGATTTCATATATTTTTGTTCGGAATCAGTCCAAGATGCCACTACCCACAAGCAAAACAAATGTTCGTCGAATTTTGAGGTTATATCACTATTGGCTAAAACTAATGTGATATTTTCCACTTTTTTCGATTCAATCTCACTGCCAGAGATGAATTCTCAATGCAAACATTTATTTTGACGTAATTTTCATTGGAATAAGTGGCCAAATAGTCGAAAATTTACACAAATTGTATTGCCTCTTTGACCGGTTCTTCAATCATAGAAAAAACACCGACAAACTCATTTTTTAACAGAAATTCATTCAATGGATTTGAACTAGACGATAAATTATCTAAATCCACTAAAATATCCATTCGAAAAAAAAACCAGGAAGGCCAAATTGCAGCAAAACCAAAACGTAAACAAAAACGAGCTGTCATCATGAAATCTGGGCTTCTTTGAAATTTTAAAGGGCTACCAATGCACTTGTGCGAATGGATCACAGTCAATTCGCACACAGTGATTCGCGCAGATGTATTTTGGTCTTGTCAAACATCAAACTAAGCCCGAATTTCATAATGACAGCTCGTTTTTGTTTACGTTTTGGTTTTGCTGCAATTTGGCCTTCCTGTTTTTTTTTCGAATGGATATTTTAGTGGATTTAGATAATTCATCGTCTAGTTCAAATCCATTGAATGAATTTCTGTGAAAAAATGAGTTTGTCGGTGTTTTTTCTATGATTGAAGAACCGGTCAAAGAGGCAATACAATTTGTGTGAATTTTCGACTATTTGGCCACTTATTCCAATGAAAATTACGTCAAAATAAATGTTTGCATTGAGAATTCATCTCTGGCAGTGAGATTGAATCGAAAAAAGTGGAAAATATCACATTAGTTTTAGCCAATAGTGATATAACCTCAAAATTCGACGAACATTTGTTTTGCTTGTGGGTAGTGGCATCTTGGACTGATTCCGAACAAAAATATATGAAATCGATTCTAAATTCTCTGCTCTATCAAACTAAAACTACCATTTTCTGTTTATTTAATACCAAAAACACCCTATTGTACACGCTCTCAAACCCCTTTCTTGTGCGGTACTTCTGCGGTGTATGAGTTGAAGTTCAATGCAAACCGAAGATATATTTCGAAAATGAAACAGAAAAATGTATCTACCAATCAAATGGCAAAAACCATATTTTTGTTTTCCTCGTTCGCATTGTTTTCGTAATCATTATTTTTCCGAAAAAATATGAAAATTATTTAAATTGGATTACCAAAAAAAAGGACGCGAAGAGAATGAAATTTCACCAATTTTCGTCATTTCGATATTGTTATGCAAATGTTTGCGAATGGGAATATGCTAAAATGTGTATGACGATGTGGCCACTCATATACGCCGATGACGGCGACGATGATGACGACCACCGATGGTAAAATCAATCGGACGAAATAAAAATGATGAATACAAACAATGGTTGGTTGGAAAACGAGATGCGAGCAAATGAAACGTATGAACAAAACACATACACAGACACACGCCAAAGCACAATTACGAAAAATGGCGAGTCTTTAATTATTCATAAAAACAATTAATACAAGTATGTTCGCTCGATTGCATTGCTCTCTCTCTCTCTCTCTGAGTGTTGCGGACACATACGCGGTTATGCTTTTTTTCCCATCGCTTTTCGTATTTTTGCTGTTCTGTTGGTTTTTCGTTATCAATTTATTATGAATTCATTATGTTTGCGGTGATAATTTTTTCCCTCGTTTGCTCTCAATGCGTTGCGTCCAGTTTGATACAGTATTTGATGTTCAGTTATATTTTTTTGCCTCTCCTACACCGTAGTTTTTTTTCTCTCGTGCCGTGTTCCATTCGGATCGGAATTGCATTTATTACACTTGTTTGTTTCACATGTTCGAATGGTCATTTGTAAATGTTGTTCATTTGCTATGTAAACAATGATGCACGCCAAATTATACAATTTATAGAGTGACCACACACGCGCACACACACAATTGTCAATTCATACTGGCGGCGGCGGCGGCGGCCGTGGACAATGGTCATTGGATTCATTCGCTTTTCAATCGTTTTCATACGCAAGCATTCTTCTGCATTATTCATTGAAATTCGCATCATTTGAAACAGAGAGACGCAAAAAAAATTGAAATTCAATTCACGTGAAAATCAGAGAAAAGATACGCGAAAAAAAGTCAATGGTGATGGTCAATGAAAAGCAGAAAATGTCTGGCATTTTGTTATGAATCACTAACTCACCATTTTCTGGTGTAGTAAATGTGGACAAAAAAATCAGTGCTATAGAAAAACGTTACACTGATTAAAAAATCATTTGATTTTAGCCCAAAGGTGAAAAAATCCATCGAAAAAAAAAAATCATTTTAATTGAGTGACGATTTAAAACTCATAACTGATCATTAATTGTGTGTATGTTTTTATGGGTGGAAACCAGTTGCGATGAATTAGTTCTTTTTTCTCATAGCTACCAGCATTCTGTTCCGACTGATTCAACTGTTGACAGTTGAGCTGTTCCACACGAACCCTCGATAATTAAGTTGCCATTTATATTGAAAATACATAATTTTACCATGCAAACTGCATATTTGTGCACTTTTTTTCTCTCCGGTTTTGTGAACATAGGCAAAAAAGAAATTAAGCTAAAGCGTGAGGAACGATTTAATTACGTTTTTTTCTCTGTTTCGATTATTGAGTTTCACTATAATGAAAAATATCGATTTTTTTTTTCGATCATTGTGCCTCACAGAAATAAATCGCTTATGGCATTCATTATTGATTTACTCGAGAAGGAACTCAGAAAAAAAAGAGTGCTGCACATTTTCATCTGTTAATTAAAACACTGTACCGAATGTGTATCCAATTAAACAATGCCAACGTGTGTGTGCATCGCAACTGTGGGCAATTATGCATCACAATGTTGTTACAAATCAAACAGATGGAAAATGATGTGAATCAATCACGATAATATCCCTTTGAATTGCGATATTCCGGTACAGGCAGCTCCGCGAATGGATTACGTTTCAATCGGAAATTATCTTTTAATCGGTCCACTTTTGTTTCATTCTGCAAATTACAGTCTCTCTGTAACTCAATACCGTGCAATACCAATCTGGGCGAATTTAATTTAACATCGAAAACAGGTGGGTATTGATTACTACATTTTATTTCATCGTTACTTTTTTTCGCATCGCCTTTTTAATTTTAATTAGTTTTTCACAAGAATCCACTCGATAAATTGGAAAAGTGTACTGTGTTTCAAAAGCCATTTTATTTGTTTGAATTGAGAATGATACAATTTTAGTGGAAATCCAATGCAATTCATTTGATTCTGTTCAATTTGTACAAGTCTTTTCGGCTCGGATTTCTCATCAAGTGGAGAGAAAAGTTGTAAAATATTTGATGTGTAATGAAATGCAGAAACAATGGACTGCCTTTTAATATTGAAAACATGACATTTCATTGTTTGAACATTGATTGTGCTTTCTGCATTTCCATGGTGAGATGCCATATGGAAAGTTGATGATGTTTTACAATTTTTAAGTTGGACAAGGTTCGAAATCTGCTATAAGTGCCCGATAGCTCAGTGAAATCGATTTTGAATTATGACAAACACTCCCTCCACCGCGTCTCGTTTGCATCGCCTATATCAATATCGAAAGAAAATCTATGAATCACACAGTACATTTGTGTTATTTATTCATTCATACCGCACGATTGATATCTCCAACGCATACCCAATCCGATTTATCATCGCTCACTCCCCATTTTGAATGGTCATCCGTTGTCGGGAAGAAAATGCTTTGATTAAATTTCACTTTCGACACATTCCATACACTGAAAATCGGAGGATTTTTTTTTTTTCAATAGTTAAAAGTTTTTAGATTCATTTGAATAAAAATCAAGGATAAAAAAGGAAAGTTGAGAAGACTTTCTTGTAAAGAATGGTTTGCATTTACCGTGTTGCTTTTGTGCAATTCGATGGGAAATTGCCAGAGCCTTTGCGCCATGTTTCCACATATAGGTTAGTATTCAAGCTGGGTGCGATCTGGGATCAAGCGAAAATTCACATTATCTTGTTTCATAGAGCAAAAAGTCGATTGAGAAATAGTTGCGTGGATGGATAATTTACCCAATCTTCATAGAGTTCCTTGGAGAATTTCGATGATTTGGCAAATGCTTTAAAGACCTCCCCGTTCAGTGTGGTTAAGTCAACCTCATTCCAATAGGGACCGTTAATTATGCGTTTTCCTTCGATCAAACGTTGAATATTTGGGAAAGCTTCAACTAAACTTTGCGGCAATTTAGATTCGTAGACTTGAGGTTCGTTGTAAATAAGTTGCTTGCCAACAACATCGATTTGATTCGCATTCAGCGATAAGCAGAGAAAAGATTGTCCATAAATTAGTCCAGTCGACGGATAGTGGTAATCGCTTGCATCAGCTGAAAATGGTAAAATAACTGATAATTATTTTTTTTTCCTCAAATCTAATCGGCTAAATCAGCTCTATTTACAATATTTATTTTATTTTATCAATCATAAAGAATTGAATAAAAACAGCCAGTCTTTGGCGGTGTATTATTATTATTATTATTATTATTATTATTATATTAACAAAATCAATTGAAATAATTAAATTAGCATAATACGCTATTCATGGTTATTATTATTATTTCAATTTAAAGAATAAATCGTAAAAAAGACCAAAAAAATTCATCAAAGATTTCTTAAACACGAAAACAAAACAGTGTGAAAAAAATACTCACACGTAATATTTGGATATAGTGGTACTGAGTGAACTAGCCAGAATCCACTTCGTTTATCGGCAACGACAACACCTTTCAAATGTCCATTCTTCGAGTTTCCCTTTGCGTTTGGTGGTTCATCGTTGTAGGCAATCAACACACGATCTTCTTTCACTTGATCAGCACTGAAATAGGCCTGCGCTAGCGTTTGTCCGGCCATACTTTTTTCGTTTTCCAAAGAGAATTCGGATAACGTCCATTGTGAACTAACCGAATTTGGTGTTATGAAGAAGTACAAACATCCTTTTTTCTGAATAGACGCATCGAATCGGCCTGGCAATTTGTACAAGTAAAACCTTTGAATCGAAACGAAATATCAATTGAGATAAAGACAAAATGTGTTAAACGAGAGGGATGAAATGATGAAAATGAATTCAATTTCGAAGATATATTCGAGAAAATGTTTCTTTTTAGTAATTACCAGTCAACATTCTGTCCTTTTTCATCTTTGCAAGTGATGTCGTAGTCGTTTACATTGCACAAAGCATTGGCAATAAACAAAGCGTAAACTAAAAATAACTTTATCACTGAAATACGTCTAACCCACATATTTCGCTCGCAAATGTAGACGCAAAACACACGATTAATGAAAACACACAACAGCTTCACTTCAACTGGGCAAAATGACTGAGAGAGAGAGAGTAATTTTATTTCGATCGATTACAAACAAAGGCACAGCGTAAAACTAGATTATTAGAATGATCGAGGTACCTCGTATGACTAAATTTCTGAAGTGATGCATCTCAGTTGAATCATTGTCACATACGCTAGCCGTATCGTATTGTTTACAGAGATAATGGTTGCCGCTAGGCGAACGCTAGTGACTATGATTGTGGACGCATGGTGAATGAAACGTCCGTATACGAACGATGCTTAGTCGGAATTCATTCAGTCAACTCTCTGTGATGATGATGTTGATTGTGTACTCAGTACACTGTACTGTCATATGTAATTCCTTTTTGTTGATTTAATTTTGCATCGGACGCACATTCTATCAGACGATGTGCTCAAGGCGAAGGTTTTTATTTCTTATCACTTAAATGGCATACTGAGTCAAATGAAATCGTTCACAACTTAATCGCTAAAAAACTGTGGTTAACTTTGTCCATCTTCAGCTCTTCTCTTTCTCTTTCTCAGTGTCATCTATCTTGATTAGCTTCACACAACAGTCTGGAAATCGCTTTGTTAAGTCTTGGACATTTTTGTAGCCTGTAGGTACTTCCACTATACCGCAGCTAATCAGTGTGAAATAGAAAACGTGTTAATTTGTGTGAAGTGAATACACTATATAAGCACAATTTCTCTGAATATAGATAGATTGAGGACAAACTTCTTCAATCAACATGAAGATCTTACTCTTCTTTAATCAAGATGAAGTCTTCACGGCACCACATTTGCTTGCACGATGTATGCAACAATGGATAATATTTGCCAATGTTATACGTTTTGTTTTTGCCATCCCAACATTGATTGGGAAAATCTGCGGAAGAAACACACAATTGTTGAATAATTAACAAAAACAAATTTTTTCTGAAAGATTTCACAAATATTTTTTTAATTATTTCAATCACTTTTCATCAGGAAAAAATAAAATAATTACCTGGATTGGGTGGTACAGGCTTCATATTTGCGCGAACAGCGCAAATAAAAGCAAGAAGAAGAAGCACACACTTGGCCATTTTGATTTTTTTCTTGAATTCTCGAGGAGTTTTTCACTAATTACTTCGTCGACGACGACTAAACTGTAACTGTGCAAACGGAGATTTCAATTCAATATTCTATGCTGTCTTTATATATGTCAGCAATTCCTTTTCTTCTTCTTTTAATTACAACTTTTTAGCACACATTTGACGCAATAATAGATAACATAACCATTTTTTGAGATTGTTTTTTGCCTTGTGTGTCTCAAATCACACATTTACAGCTACTCAGTCACGATCGCCACTCTTTCCTCTTATTCCGATTTCAAAGAATATATATATATATATATTCGTGATAACACACTCATGGAATTTTCAGCCAGACGGATTGTGTGTATTTTTTGCGATACCACAGTATATGGGTAATGTTAAATATTGATTGTTCATTTGCGTACATCGTGGCACTTCACAAGCATTTTATAAATGTTGATAAGTCTGTGTTCCGACGATATTTCATCCGAAGTTATTTCATTGGTGTTTGTGCGAGCAACGCGGTAGCCACAGCATCGCGGGGGATTTTTGTTGCCAAGAAAATGCATTTCAACAGTTTAGTGTTTTTGTTTCTTGTTTCTCCTTGAGTTCGATTACTACTCTCACTAATTGAGCAGATTACGGCAGAGTTCATTTGTCGGACAATTTTCAGTGAAACACACGTTTGAAAAAGGCAAAATCGTCAGCAATATCGGACGCTGTTTCCTTTTTTGTGAGTGACGACATTTGCACTTTCTATCCATGCAAAGAATATCAGTGAATTTTATTGCATTATCGGCTTTGGAAGGTGAAAAACGGCGTTGATGCACGATATCACACCATCTAGCGAACATTACTTCAACCTTGGAATATACATTTTCTCTACTTGAAGTGGAGTAAATCTGGGTGCTGTGATAAAATTCACACGAAAATACGAATACCAAAACAAAAAACAAAAAAGTGAATGTTATTGAAATAATTGCACATGATTTATTTACGCTTTTAGTTTGGTTTGATTAGACTCGTCCATTTGTTTGTTGATTGCAATCTGATTGAATCTAGTTTAATGCGGTTGCCATTGCAATCGGGTTGACGCCCATCAAAGACATTGATAACGATTTGTTCGTCTCATTCTCCCTACGTTCAATTATGGCGTGAATAGATTTTGTGTTGTAATTGACGACTCACAAATGAAGTCAACCGAGAATTACGTATCTGCAGACTATAGCGTGTGTGCAAAAAATGTAGTATAACAAACTCATCGAACAGTATTATGATCAGCTGAGTTTTTATGGGTTGAGCTTTTGTGTCGTCTATCAATTACTAATTAAGGTATTATTGAAAGACGGAATATGGGCAGTATTGATATTTTCATAACGAGAAATTTTTATGAGTATTCATGAATACTTCTTCTGTTTTTATCAAAAGCATTTTTGAATTCGGAATACATTAAGCATTTACAGCGAAAAAAATACTCATCGTTTAGTTTGCATAAAACTCTCCCCAACTATTCCTAACTTTAATTGCATAATTATTCACTTATAAATCAAATAAAAACCGACACAATTTACAATAATTTCGAAACATATGAGGGTGTCGCCCGAATAGGCTCATTAGGTTTACTTCTGTTCACTCTTCTTCTTCTTCACAGTTAGTTTGGAACAGCATTCTGGATACTTTCTGCTTAAATCTTGTACAATTTCGTATCCATCGGGCGCTGCTTCCGAGCCACAACTGCAAAACGTATACGGATTTGAATAAATGATTGAAAAAACAGAAGAAAATGAACGTGGGAGTTTACTTACGTTCTAAAAAGAAGGCTCAAATCCTCCTGGCATATTATGCTTTCACATTTATTTCCTGGGTAATGGACACCAACATCGTAAGTTTTCTCACCGTCATAGCATTTCGATGGGAATCCTGAGAAAGACACTCATTTCAAATTTGTTTGATTTATAATATGTTCAATGAATTTTCATTGAATTTGGTATTGATTACCTACTTGAATTCGGGAGAGCGATTGCAAGACTTGCTGAGGCCATGTAAACGGCACAAGATAGCATAATCAGTTGTTGAAATAGTTTCGACATTTGAACTCACTTACAAGAAAAACTGTTACTCTCGATTCTAAAATTATTGGCAAGGAAAAGAATTTCTTCTGAATTTTTCGACTATTTATATACTAATGAAAAGAGTGTTCAACATTTATATGACAACGTAGAGTGGGACTAAAATCTTGAATGACGAGAATATATCGAATGAAAGTTAGCATAAATAACGGGTTACACTAGACAAAGCCATTCACATATCGATCATTTTTTGCGCATAATTCTAATTTTAAGACGTAAATAAATAAAATTGGCATGATTTTTTTCCTATCTCAATTATTCAAAAACATCCGTTATCGTGGCCTCTATTTAGGTCTGTTTGGAATTTTCAAGAATTCAATCAAAAATACTGATACAATAAATGTACCGTTGCGCATTTTGAATAATAAAATCTATACGTTTTTTTTGACACATTTGCAATGTATGAATAACTAAGAAGTCGGATTGTTGGTCAAGAGTGGAAGAATGAGGTTTGTTTGTTTGAAAACAAATTCGTTAAATTTCGTCTCAAAAGAAGAGAAAGATTGGATCAAACAACGCCATCTATGGTAAAAAATCTGAAATTTTCTATTCACTCAAAATTATATGAGTATAATATGAGCCTATTGTGAATAGTTAGAATGGTTTGAAGTGATCAAAGTGACATTGAAAATTGAAAATTGAAAACAGAAAAACAAAAAAATGCCCAGTATCTTCTTCCTGATATTGAGCTGGAAATGTTGCCTTATACATTAAGTAAAATAATTTGACATGTTCAAAAATTCTGAATTCAACAAATTGCTTTATTAATGATTCTTGCTCTGCAGCTAAAATGTATTTTATAAATCAGTCAAATGGTAATTCTCAGCTGATCAAGTAAGTATAATTTAGCTGCACTTGTTCTGAATTCATAACTACACGCTCTTATTAGTTCGGAACGAAATTACCGCAGCATTCTGGGTATGGTTTTGTCGTGTCGATTTCATTGCGAAAACCTTCTGTTGCAATGACGGCTCCGCACCTAATAGAAACAATAATATTGTGAGCACTTTTTGAAACCAACTTTTTAACCCTTTGACGACCAATGGGACACATATGTCCCATTTTGTTTTTCATCTGTAATTTCTACGTTTCTCAACCAATTTTAGTGAAATTGGTTTCTTTTGAAAGAGAAATTATGTACCTATCAGAAAGTTCCAAAATATTGGATATTCGTTGTAAAGACACTTGGATAGAACACTCCAAAGTCAAAAAATCTTAAATTTTTTTTTCAACTTTCGCCAAATGCTATATAATTTTAACGGTGGAACTTTTAAAGCTGAAAATTTGGAATAATGTGCGAAATGTCCATTACTTTCCAAAAATCATCGACTTTATTTAGAAAAAACGTTTTTTCCACTTTTTATTGCGTTTGGCGCGATGGGACATATGTGTCGCATTGGTCGGTAAGGGTAAATAAATACCCCGTATTTCCCTGTATTTTGGCCATTATTCGCGAATTTTCAAACACAAAAATTTACTAAAATATCATTAAATTCGTGGTTAACAACAAAGCATAATTCAAACCATTTTCGGTTCCAAACGATTCTAAAAATTTAAAAAACGAAAAAGATTTTACGCGTAGTTCTTATGGGAGACATATTTTTTTCCATACAAAGGTAGTTACCGTTACCGACCGATGGAACACATATGTCCCATTATTTTTTTCATATTTCCAGTTAAAAAAATTAATTTTTGATAATATTTTTATTATGATTTTTGGGGTCGCTGAGCACGAATCTGCAATCAGAATTGCAAAATTCTCATCCGTTCAATCTTGGTCGTCAAAGGGTTAAAGGGTCACTTACGTCTGTTTTACAAGTGATAAATCGCTTCCACACAACATTTGAAAACACTCTCCTTTAGGAACGGTTGTACCGATTGGATAGGCCTTTCCTTCACTTTCAACGTAACATTGGTTTGGATAATCTAAAAAAGGTGTTTTCTTAGCAATTCGTTTAAAAAAACTATTGAATCAAATGCAAGAAATACCTTTGTGTTTTGTATTTCCATATCTGTATACAGCAGCCGAACTTAAATAAGCTACGGCAAAGAGCACAAATAAAAACAAGCACTTTGACATTTTTTTGTTTTAGAATTCAAATGGTTAGAATATACAACAGTACTGATTTGAGCACAACTTTGCATGGCATTTTATAGCAATAATTCGACTTGAAAGATGTCGAAAGAATATTCCAAACTTTGATAACAAAATAAAGCTTTTACTCTGAGAAAAGAGAGGTATGGTTATGTTATACTTTTTGTTTTGACACTTATTTCACAACAAGAACTTGAATACTTTATGGTGATTTTCGGTACTAAATATATTTTTGCCGCTAGAGCACCACAAAGTTTTTTTTGACTTAGTAGTGAAAAAAAAGTTGAAAATATTTTTGGTACCAGAAATCACCACAAAGTTTTCAAGTTCTTGTTGTGAAATAAGTGTCGAAACAAAAAGTATAACATAACCATAAATCTCTTTTCTCAGAGTAGTTACGAGCAAAAAATCTAACAAAGGTTATCATGATACTAGCCAAAATTTCAACAGTTTATGTTTGTTCTATAATATTCGCCAATACAAGCATAAAGGATGTGATTAAATTAAGTTCTCGCTTCAATGCCATTCGCCATGGTCATTTTTGGCGATAGTGTTATTTTCAATCATAAAACAAACAAATGCGCCGTGTGTTTTCATCATCATATTCATCAGAAAATATAGACTTATACATTAAAGTAAATAATTTGACACGTTAAAAATTCGAAATTCAACAAATTTCTCTATTAGTGATCGTTCTGCTGCTGCTAAAACATATTTTTTATAAATCAGTCAAATGGTATTAGCACTACATGGAATGTAGAATACATGGAATATAGGCTATTGCATTTGTTTTTTTTTCCCAAGAAATTTTTAAGACTCTTCAGGCCATTTTTTTGGACCGAAAATTAATTCTTTTTTCTATCCAAAGTTCTAATTTGAAATAAAGCAATTACGCCTAATTACAAAAATATAATAATATCATGTTCATGTAATTCATATTTGAGATAACTCAAAAAAAAAAATTTCATATTATTTTAATTTTCAATGTGAAATAATGTACAATCCACGTTCACATTATCATTCCCAAAACCAAGATAATATAATAATTAATAAAACCATAATTTATTTAATTAATATATATTAATATTTATTTATGTATCCATATGATTAATAACTAAATTTTTTAATGTTTCTCTTACATATTTAATTTTTTCAAAGTACGGCAATTTAGAGAAAGATTTGTCTAATGAACTTTTTGTCCAGGTCGAACATTATTGATTTTGATTAAAATAATTTTCATAAAATACAGAAATGTATACTTCGATTGAAACTACATTCCATGTAGTGCTTGAATGAATAATTTGATGGAAAAATCAAATTAACGTTAAAAAAAAACCATTTTAAACAACGCAAAAAGAACGCAGAGAGGAGCGAAGCGACGATCTGCGGTCTTGTTTTAAACTGTTTCGAATTCACGATTACAAGCTCTTATTTGGCACGAAATTAACGCAGCATTCTGGGTATGGTTTTGTCGTGTCGAATTCATTGTGAAAGCCTGCTGGTGGTCCGACGGCTCCGCATCTGATTTCCAGAAACAATAATATCGTTAACACTAAAAAAAACTTTTCAAAGTCGAAACACTTACGTCTGTTTTACAGCTGAAAAATCGCTGCTGCACGTAATTTTAAAACACTCTCCTTTAGGAGTGCTCGTACCGATTGGATAGGCTTTTCCTTCAATGTAACATTGGTTTGGATAATCTGGAAAAAAAAATTCATCACTGAATCAATCATTGAATCAAATGCAAAAAATACCTTTGTTTGCTGTATTTTCATAGTTAAATACAGCAGCCGAGCTTAAGTAAGCTACGGCAAAGAGCACGAATAAAAACAAACATTTGACCATTTTTTCGTTCTAGAATTTAACTGGTTAGAATATGGAACAGTACTAATTTGAGCATAACTTTGCATTGCATTTTATAACAATATTTCGGGGTGAAAGATGTCGAAAGTATATTTCAAGGTTATCATAGTACATTACCAACAAATATGATTTCTGATGTCATGGTTATGCAAAATTTTCGGTTTTCAGCCGCTTTTATTGCTAGAGTTTGTTTTTTTTTATGTTCACTGATACAAGGATGCGATTAAATAAAGTTCTCTCTTTGATACCGTTCGCTGGTCAATTTTGGCAGTTGGACTTTTTTCAATCAACTTTATCATTGTAAGAAAGATTAGCTGTTTATTGGTATATAAAACAAGTTACATAACACAAAATTAGCATATATATTTATTCGATCTTGAGTGTTAATCAGTTCAAATTTGTCATAATGTCAATATGTATTGGTTCTTCGCAATGGACGAAGCTTGATGCGAACTAGAAAGAAAGTGATTTTTGGTTGTGACTTAATTTCATTCCATTCAGTAGTCAATTTTAACTGGTGGGCAATGTATCGTTCCGCAGCAGTCTGGATAGTTTTTCGAGTCATCTGGTTTAATTCTTGAGCATCCTGGCTGTGGTAATCGGGTTGAGCAACTGATAAAATACAATTTACATGAATATTCGCATTTTTGCTGCACTTTTTTTTTTTAAATAAAAATAAAAATCACTCACACTCTCTTCGAAAATTTCAAATTCACTCCGCATCGAATGAGTTCACAGTTGGTTTTGTCGGTGATTTCTTCACCAAGGCGAAATTCCTTGTTCAGTGATTGTGACCAACATTTGCCCGGATGATCGGGATGAACACCAGATTCACCTGCGATCCACACAACTCGATCGGCACATTCCAATGACGAAATCAGTGTCATAAACACCAAACAAAACAATGCGAAACCAAACTTCATCTTCTGCGTACCTATTTCTGCGGCGACAAGTTTAATACTGACATTCTGACGGCACGGCTATTTGTGCTTTATGCTCTCAGACTTTATTTACACATCCAATCGAGATGAAGTTGTGTTCAAGTGGCGTAAAATGTTTGCACATTTTAGTGCTGTAGGTCGAATGATGCATGCGATAAGCTCAGTCTATCAGTGTACAAGGTTCAAAATGATCGTTTCATTTCCCTAAGATACACTCATGGGCGTGTAATAATGAAATTCAAATAGAAAAAAAAATTGTTTGCATAAATGTTGAAAACGTTCTGTTTATTCAATTATATTCTCTTTGTCTTCTTTTTTCACTAAGTTAATGCAACAATCTGGATACTTTTTCAAAAAATCGGGAACGTTTTCATAGCCTTCAGGTGGTGAGACTGATCCGCATCTGTGAAAAAAAATTCGGAAAATGGTTCATCGAAACACATATCAATGGAATGATCAAAGAAATTCATCATAACTTTAAAAAAAAATCCAACTTACGATTCAATGTAAAAATCGCCGTTTTCGAAACATACTAGCTTTGTGCACGTTTCTGAATAGTAGGTGCCATTGTTATAGGCTTTTTCACCATCCCAGCACTGTCCAGGATGATCTTCAGGAATAATCATTCATTTTAATTATAATTGAACATTTTCAATAAAAAAATCTAATCCAAAGTTATATAAAATGTATAAAAATTACCTTTATGTGGCAAGCCATAAGCGACAGCAGCCGAAGCCATGTAAATGGCACAAAGCAAAACGAATAATTGTAGAATAAACTTTGCCATTTTAATTAAATTGACTTACTCCCTCGTTGGTAGTCACTAAAGTAATGACTTGACGCTTTGTTCCTAACCGCTCTGTTATATATAGCTGCTATGGAAATGATGTAGTTAAATTTTCGTTAGTAACAAAATAATAATAACAACATTTTTGGGATGTTTATCATTTCATATCAGCAAAACGCTGTAGCACAGTTGAATTTATGACATTTTCACCCGTTCTGATTACGTTGTGAGCACACTCCATTCACTCGCGCCAATCTATTATGCGTTGGAGCAAATTGATAACGACTGTTTATTTAATGAAATTCCAAGTGAACGTCGAAAAAACACTGAAAACAACGAAAAATGTTTAATATTCAATGTACATTCGCACACTTTATGCAGATTGAGAATATTGACAGAATATGGTTAGTTGCCAATTAGCGTATATTCATCGACGACGAGAGGGGCCTGCATCATGTCAATTTGGTGGCCAATAAAAAGCGAAACGCGCTTTTAAATGTCGTGAAATCCGACATCTGCTCTGCATAACACCTAGTAACTGACATTGATATTGGATTTTCCCTTTTGGTGACGTCTAAGTCTTTTTTCCTTCAATCAAATCGTATCACTCCCTCCATCTCATTCTCTATTTACAAATAAAACTAGTTGAAACATACCGATGAATAACTTTTTATTGCATATTTTTTTCTATTTTTTTGTGATATTTTTAGAGGTTTTTATTCGGAATTCGCGGTTTCTTTTTCTGTGGCATCCTTCGCTGGAGCTGGTGTGGATTCAGCTTTATGAAGTTTCAAATCAACTGATCGATCTCTGGTGCGGAATTTATTGATTTTCACTTCACTTGCATTAATGGGTTCGACCCGTTTGGCTTTCTTCTCGACCTTGACTAGCTTAGCGCAACAGTCTGGATACGCTTTAGATAAGTCTTGTTCGATTGTATAGCCTTCACCACCGGAATGTGTACCACATCTGAATAAATCATCATCAAAAACATTTCATCATCACATTTTTGTCAAACATTTCAAATGTCACTGAGTGGTTTGTTGGAGCAAATTGTATTTCTTACGATGTGTATTTGATACGGAAATCAGGATAGCAATGAATGCGTTCGCATGAATTCTTCGGTAAATGTGATCCAACCGAATAAGCGGTCTGTGAGGCTTCATCCCAGCATTTATTTGGATGATCTATTTGGTTGGTGGAATCAATAACAAATCATTGAATCACTTCAGATGAATGTTCCAATAAGAAAATGTTTATCACTAATTATTCACTGAATTAATGAAATTCACCTGGGTTTTTTTGTGGTGTGGTCACTTTCACAGCACTAGTCTCACCATTCACATAGCAAATCACACTCAAAACGAGCAAAATTGAAACAACGAAAGATTTCGACATTTTTCAAACCAACGAAGCGAAATAAAAACTCAAGTTGTTATCGTCATAAAATCCTTAAGAATACTGGCCAATGCCTCAACTCAATGTGGCGTATTTATACCGCCAAAATGTCAATTCGATTGTGAAAATAAAAACCGATCACGTTTAAAGATAAAAAAAACAATCAATACCAATGAAGAGAAGAAGAAGAGAGACAGAAAACACTTCGAATTCAAGTTGATCGCATATGATTGAGGTTTCGTAAAATTTGTGATAAAATTTACCGGTCGCGATTCAGGTTCACGATCAGAGTAGCATACGAAAGCCAAAAAAAAAACAACAATCTTGAGACGTGAAGTTACGGAATATTTAAATCGGTTTAATTCATGTGACTACGGTGATTGGGTAATAACCGCAATTTTTGCTTAAATTTATTCTCTTCACAACATTCTTGAGCCACAGACTTTCAAAGAAAAAAGAAATTTACATTTGATTCGTTAGTTTATTAAAAAAAACACACATTTGATTGAATCGATCAAAACACGATGATAAAGCATGCGATTAAATATGATCTTGGGATTTAACACAATACTTGGCCAGACGATGCTTGGCCGCCGTAATAACAATTAATTTTCTTTATTACTATGATTGGTGTTCGTCAGTGAAACCAGTTCGCCAAGCAATTGTTTTAATTTTAAAACTGAAATGGTTCACCGCTTTATGCGGTGGATGGTGCAGGTTCAGCTTCCTCATTCTTGATTTCATCTTTGACTAGTTTGATGCAACAGTCTGGGTACTTCTTGCTATAATCCCGTTCGTTGTGATAGCCTAGCGGAGGCAACACTGCACCGCAACTGCAACATAAAATGTGTAAAAATTGCGTTTAATTCTTTTGATTCGGATTCAAAACAACAATTTACTATGAAAATCAATATTTATTCTTTAAAAAAAACAAACCTCCTAATTTCCATAGAGAAATCACCGCCACAATGCACTTCCATGCACTCATTTTTTGGATAATTCAATCCAATGTCAAATTCCATTTTTAAATGGTCGTCCCAGCATTTTCCTGGGTGATCTGAGTGAAGAAAGAACAAGTGCGTATTCAACGGTTATTTACGTACAAAAGGTCATGAACGCAACAAATAATAATTATCATTTAATTTACCTGCATGTTTCGTCGGCAGAGAGATTGAAACAGCTGCATTTATAGCACAAATCACGCTAAGTAACACAATTACTGCTAATGAGCGCATCGCTGTTGTGTATTGGATTGTTCAATGCTTTGGGAAAAACTGAACTTCTAATCGGATGTAACGCTTATATTTATAATGCACAATCTGATATTCCATCGTATGCGGTTTCGACTGCAATTATTTTTTTCGATTCTGGTTTTTCTCTTTCTCTCTCTCTCTCTCTCTTTCTCTCTCTTGTTCCATTGAATTTGCGTCTTATTTCGTGCTGTTGAATATTAAGGCTAGTTGTGACGTTACAATTTATTTTCAAATCAAGTCTGGGTCTTTTCTCTGAATTCGAGCAGTTCATGATTCAAATCAGCGTGTCGATCAATGAATGAATCGTTAATGCTGTGAGCATTTTGTTTTGGTCCGATCAGAAAAATATGAATTGCGATTCAATTTCGATGGACATTCAGAGCTAACTAATTTGCATAATCTGAATCATTTAGCAAATAAAAGGGGATTCGCTTCATAATTATGAAGTCAACAGTAGCCGTTTTTAGTGTAAAAGTGTTGTCATCTGGGTGACAGATTGTTTGAGTTGTTAATTGGCACGGAGACAAGCAGCATTTTATCGACGACGACAGACAAACCGGTTTTTTTTGCTTTCATACAAAGAAAATATTTCGTATAAATTCATCGCTTGCAGTCTGATTTAATTCATGAATAATAAGAACAGAAACTTTGGCTAACAACAGTTTATTTCAATAAATAAATAGACAATAAAAAGAAATCTCAACACTTTTTGTTCTTGACATGCAACAAAAATTGTGTTTTCGACACATTTTCCTAATCTAATTAGGGCAACAATCTGGGAATTGCTTCGACACACGAAACGGTGCAAACCGATAGTCTGAACCAGATAATACACTTGTCTTATCACATCTACCGAAAAAAAGAAAAAAAAAACGAGTTTTAACAAACTAATTTCACTTGCGTTTAAATCAAAACATGATTGAGAAACAAAATGAAAGAATGTACTCACGTGAATGTGAGCATGGAGTAGTCAGAGCCACAAATTACACGTTTACACTCTCCTCTCGGATAACTCACGCCAACCGAATAGACTGAATTCGTCTTAGCATCCCAACATTGCCGCGGATGATCTAGATTAATACGATTGATGTTGAAAAAATTGAATATTTTAAGAAAAAAACAAGTTTTTCGAGAGGAATTTGCACTGATTATCGATTTTTGCCTCAACTTTGGTCGAAAATTCGACACCTCATCATTTTTTCAACATTTATTTTGTCATTCCCACATTCCCCATTCAATCTTTTTATTTCCACTTTTCTTCACTTACCCGGATGCACTGAACGAAACGACATTCCAACGGCACCGAACGCAACTGAACACATGCACAGAAATAAAACAATTGTAACGAGTTTTGTGGACATTTCAATCGTTTTTTTTTTCTTTGAAAAATATTTGGTCTTTTTTCACGTTTTTCTCTGGTGAATTTTTTTTCCCAGTATCCAATTTCTCACAATAAAGTTGGCTTAAGCCTCAAAATATCGAGAAAAGATTCAAAAGGCGGTATAACAAAAACTGATCTAAAAAAATGTGCGTTAAATGTTTGACGGTCGTAGTCAAAATTGGAATAGTTTGTGATCGTTAACGATGATCATTGTAAAACTTATCTATTAAATAGCGGTGAAAAAAGCCCCTCCAAAACATGAATTAGTTGAACATTTTTATTTAAATGCTAAATTTGACTCTAAAGTTACATTTTACATTGTCCAATTGGTTTCACATTCATAATTATGAAACAACAATCAAGGACTTTTACTTCGTCTTCATCTACAATGATTTGTCATAGCTGAAATGCAACGTTAACCTTTTGCATTTTATCTCTTTGAATATTATTATATGAACGCGTGAGAATAAAAGACTGACGCTACCAGGTTTTTCGCAAAAGCAGGATAAAAATCAGTTGCACGCAAAAGAGACATTTCAAAAGGTTGCACGCAAGAGAGAAGTATATTGTTGTTGTAATCACGGCTTTAAAATTCAAAATGCGACAAAATAAAATGTTCCGTTTACGTGTAACCTTTTGAAATGTCTCTTTTGCGTGCAACTGATTTTTATC